ATTACCTGCCTATCTACAACAAAGATGTTGCAGTCCTGCAGTACGCTGTTGTGGTGTTGAATTGTCGTGATCTCTGACCCCCTCCCTGGCTGCCCTAACGCGACGTGCACGCTGCAGAGTAGCACCTCCAAGAAGCGGTCAACCTGCCGTAAGTACTGCCGCACTGCCTTGACGCTCCACTGCCCGTCTGCACGCTTCAAGCGCTGGCCGCCCTCTGTGGTGAGTGCGCGCTTAAGCATCCACTCTAGCCCACCTAGCAGTTGGTTGCCTGGTGCATTGACAAACGACGTGCGTCGTTTTGTGAATGTAACATTATTAACTACCTGCTTAAGATTAATAGTTACCCAGTCCTCCTCCTTTCCAATCCAGCACAGCTCCTGCAGCATCTGCTCTGCTTCAGCCAGCAAGTCTTACGCCATCTTGCAGAAACGGCTGATAGCAATTGGACGACTGTTTAGATAAAACGTCTTTCTGTCCAGAGACTAGTGTGCGTTGCCTGAGTTGCTGGCGTTTAATCCAATGTGCTTGCCGTACGCGAGCATGCTGATCATCTCGCTCATCGGGCTGAACGAGCCATCTGCTAGATACCTCTGCCGCATCTCTACAAAGCGATCGCGGTCCAGCTCAGTTTGCGCGCTGCGCTGTGAGCCTGGGAGCAGCGCCTCAACTGCGACTACCCGCACGCAGTACACCATCCCTGCTAGCATATACGAGTAGTTCTTTGCTGTCCGCAAGCGGTCTGTGCCTGTATCATACCCAAGCACTGCCAGAAACTGAATCAGACCAGTAGACAGCGCTATAGGGTAATATGTTGTAAAGACAAACGAGCTAATTGACGCAAGAAGCGCCTCTGTCTGAGCTGCTCTGTTGTTGCCATCTAGCGCGTCCTATAGCTTGATCCCAAATGACTTCTGCTCGTCTGTCCACGTGAAGAGCTCACGTGCATCTTTCACCCTATCTAGCTGCGTTCGATTGCGTGTTGTACGTCGGGGCCGCAGGCTGTCGCTATCAGCTTTACTGCTCTTGCCGTCATCGTCCTCCTCGCTGTCCTCCTCGCTGTCCTCCTCGCTGTCCTCCTCGCTGCCTGATGCTGAGCAGCTTTCTGCATAAGCGGCTGCATTCTGCTGCTCTCCAAAGCGCACAATCCGCTGCTCTTCGTCGGCTAGTACCCGCAGATAGAAGCTGACGAACCTCACCATGTAGCTTGTGTACACTGCCTGACTCTCCGGATTCTGCAAGCGCGCTAACGGTCGCACGTCTGGCTCCTCTCGCTTTGCGCTCCGCAGCCAGCGCCTCAACTCTTGCGGGAGCGTAGCTAGTCCTTTCACGCTTCTTTCGATCAGCCCTTTAGTCAGCTGAGCAGCCAGCTTGATCTTGCGCTCGCTGTGATCGGGCAGGCGGGCTTGATGCGCTAGATGAGCGAGATTCTAGTCCTTAAAGAACTC